TGGGTTACACAAAGTATTCAATAGCTACAGTCGCTCTAGTTACCTATTATCTTTAAAGAAGTGAATATAGGATAACAAATTGGTGGTGACTGTAAGATACAGACTCTACCTGGGATATTTTATGAAGAAACGTCCAAATCGTAGAACGATTGGTACTAATTGAAGTCAGTCAATTTTGCTCTATTTGAGCTAAAATTTCAGAATACATCCGTTGGAACCTTCTGCAACTTTTGTTCTAAGTATATCATAAGACGAAAACGCCACTGGAACCCGTAAAACGTGTTGATGGCATTTTTCTTCTTTAAAGATCTGCAAAGAAAGAAACGATCAGTACTAAGTAAAGTCGATCAATTTTGAACCAATCAAGCTGAATTTTGAGGATATATTTATTGATATATTCTGCAAATTTTATACTAAGCTTATCATAAGACGAAAGTGATATTGGAGATCATAAATTGCAGTGACGGTATTTTTTCTCTCAAATCTTAAAATTTGATCAAAAAACCCTTTTTCATCATTTTCTATATTATTTCTATTTTATTATATACATACCAATATCTCATTTCTTTTAAGTTACCACATATATATATAATATTTATAATGGTTGATAGTAAACAGAAACTAGATATTTACTATAACCCTTGGACCGATTTAGATTTTGATCAAATTGATCAAAAACCTATACCTGATGTTTTACCTATAGAAGAAAATCTACCAACTGAACAAGAAGCATTACAATCTATATTTATACCATCTGACAATACTGAGGATATAGATGATAATCAAGACCCATGGGAAATAGATAAAGAATCTGTAATTGCCTCTGGTCAAGCTCCAAGATATAATCTTGATGATGAACTATCTGACAAATGGAATCTTGATTCTTCAGATGAAGAGAGCCTCTATTCAATTCCTAGAAGAAACAAAGAACCTCCTACTTACTATATCAAGGATCTAATTGATATTAGATTGAATCAGATCCAATATTTATTAAAACTTAGAATTAATCATTCTAGATTAAAAAAAGTTTTGTTTATATTAGGTGATATGCAGCACTTTTTATATCCTAATCTACCTCATCCTCTTCAAAACTTAAATAGAGATTTCTACAAACTCTATGAGGCTAAAACTAAGAAAGCTCAGGATAGATTACTTAAACAAGTTCAGAGAAAAGTTAAACTTTGTCAAAACATAAAAATTAAAGGATTTGTATTGACAGAAAAGTGTCTTTGTTAAAAAAATCTATTTGTTTTAGTTTTTAATTTTTTTTATTATTATATATATTATTATTTATTATTTTATCATTTTATTATTATTATTATTTATTATCTTTAATTTTTTTTTTAAAAAAAAAAGAAAAAAAAAATAAAAAATAAAAAATTTTATATATTAACTTAGTCTTTTTTTTTAGTTTAGTATTTTTTTTGTTAACTGGAATTATCCAAATTGATGCTCTTATTATTTTGTTAATTTAAACAAAAAATAACCATGTAGATATTTTATTGGAAAATAACAACAAAGTTTGAAAAATAAAAATTTTGAAAGACAACAATATTTGAGTTAGCAATAAGTCTTGTAATTAGCAATGAAATGCTATAGAATTGAAATTATTAGTTTTGGAAAAATCTGTAAGACACGAATATAGCCTAGTACTGGTGGGTCTAATAAGTACTGTGCATGATATTGGTTTTGGAAAAATCTGTAAGACACGAATATAGCCTAGTACTGGTGGGTTTAATAAGTACTGTGTATGATATTGGTTTTGAAAAAATTTGTAAGACACGAATCTAGCCTAGTACTGGCGGGTTTAATAAGTACTGTGCAAAAATTTGGACTATTTGGATAAAGTATATATCTTCATATCACTATACTTATTCTTATATTATAACAATCAATTGGGTCAAATGACTTTCAAGATATTGT